GTTTTGACCCAGCGGTTGGGTTACTACCCAGAAGGTTGGGTTAAACATTTAACCCAACCGCTGGGTCAAAACAGCCCGATTGCTGGGTTTGTCCCTATTTTACCCAGCATTTTTTAGAGTGTATATATATAAAGAAACTTTAGTTTTTCAATGGCCAAAACTATCAGAGATAAGACTTATTTGACACTCACTTATATGAAAGGATGCATTATATTATCCCACCTATAAATTCATTACAAGTCAATAAATATGGATGATAAATACTGATTTGCATCTCTTTTATTATGTGAGAAACTACCATGGCAATAAGGAAATTGGTATGGGTCAAAGACGAGACGTCCCATTTTGGAGACTGTATCAAATAAAATTTACAAAAGCGATTGATACACACAGAAAGCATATTAAATGCAAGCTTGCAAGTGTCTACATTAATATTTCAAACAAATTTTGTGAAAATAAAATGTCAATGTAAATGTCTTTACTGTCACTTTTGATCAGTTTAATGCGTCCTTGCCAAATAAAATTATGTATTCATTACTTTTCAAAATTAACACGCTTACAATGACAGCTTCAGTATTTACTCTGTCACTGGTTATGAAAGAAGCTCCGATCTGTTCACTACATTTCCTAAGTCTCGTCTAAAGTACAAGGGCATCATGATTTTTCTGTGTTATGGCTCAGGTGGGCCAGTTTCAACATCGATAGCAGGATATACATACATGATCTACTGCAGGAATGTCAAGTGTGATGGAATTATAATAAACGCTGGTCATTTGTACACTAATCCTACCTGACTCGTGTCCATTCACAGCGCGATGTTTGGATTTCTTGATCACACCTTCACTACGCAGCTGCAGTCAACCTTGAACTCCACTGCATCATCATCGCTAAACAAGTCTCCTTCTGATTGGCTAAGAGAGCAACAATTCAGTCTCTGATTGGCTGTAGAGTCATCGCTCTGCTGTCAACAACAGAAAAACATGGCGGCTCCCGTTAGAGGCATGGCTGGATCCATCAGCATAGGCAACACAACTAGTTTTCAGAAAAAAACCCGCAGCAAACTAGTTTCTATCCCTGGAACCAGACCGTCTGTACAGAACGGACAGCTCTTAGTGTCATCTGGCGTCAGCTCGCTTGACTACGTGATTGGTTAGTACAATTCACTCGGCTGAAGCTTAATGTTAAGAGAATGTGCACTATATTTATATTTTGACATGGCACTCTATCGTCTTCATATTTATTAATAAATCTAGAAAAATTCCGCATTAATAGACTTTTGTCTGCACACCTGTCACACTTATAATGTATGCAATTAAAATGTTTTAACCTCATATTTCATTAATTTTCCGTTCATTAAGGATATTATCTTTGCATTACAAGAAAATTAATAGTATTAAATGAAGTATTTTTGTATTTTAGGTCCTGTAAGGTATTGATTAGATAATGATTACTTTGAATAGGCTTGTATGTATTGTAAAAGTGACAAAGAAGTCCCTGAGAAATAAGAGTTATGTGTTATAATCATCATTAATCTTGTGATTCTTCTTTGTATTTATAATACAACACTCAAAAATAATACACTATATACTATGTATATTATATAAGATATATTACTATATTTCTATGTATTTCTCTATTTCATTTTGCATACCCACAGTATTGATCGATTGTAGTTTAAATGTTAACCTTTGTAATAGTAGCCATTTTAATAATAATGCAGAATGGTATCTTGTACAATATGAGTCCAAATAAATGTTTTCTTTCAAAGTATGTGCACTTGACCTTTTCTGATTAAGTTATAGAGATACCTTTGTCTTTTGAAGTGTATGATGGTGGTTGACCGGTAGATAAACCACATTATGTGTTCTGTCATTAAGACATATACACTTTTCCATAGGTGGTGGCCTGGCAGTTGGAACTCTGCTGCTTGTAGGTAAGAAATGAAGCAATGTCTTTATACTGTCATGTCATGTGAGTAAGTTGTGAAGATATTATCATTTCTGGCTATTATGTTTGAACTAAGCCAATTGTTTGCATGTCATAATATGTAGAAAAAATATGGATTTGGTATTATAGGTATTGTAGATTTATGTAAGATTAGATTCAACTTTATTGTGCAGAGTACAAAACCAAAGCCAATGAAAAAATACAAAAGCATTTAACCAGAACTGCAAATAGCAATAGTGTGTGTGTTATTTAATTTATTTGCATTTAAGATGCAGATAATAATGTAGTCGCTTCTGATTCTACAAATCTACGATTCAGTAGGCTGATAGCTCATTAGATATGATGATAACTCTGATTAAACAACCCCAATTCCAGAAAATGCCATAAAATCAAGAATAAAAGTGTTCATTCTCTTTAACATTTATTTAATTGACTAAAGTACAAAGAAAAAAATTCCAATGTATTCATTGGCCAACTTAATTTTATTTTGTAAATATAAACAAATTTAGATTTTGATGGCTGCAACACATTCCAAAAAAGTTGGGACAGAGGCATGTTTAACACTGTGTCAACATCAACTTTCCTTTTGTTTAATTGTTTGGGAATTGAGGATACTGATTGTTAAAGTTTTGCAAGCAACATTTTTGTACAATCTCACTTGATACAAGATTTCAGATGCTCAGCAGTCTGTGATGATCATTGTCTGATTCTCCCTTTCATGACTGGTCATACATTTTCAATAGGAGACAGATCTGGACTGCAGGCACGAGGCACCAGCACATTCTCTCTGTGTCTACGAAACCACGCTGTTGTAGCACATGCAGAATGAGACCTGGCATTGTCTTGATCTAATAACCATGGACTTCCCATGAAATATGTCATCTTGATGGCAGTATATGTCACTGTACAATTCCAGTATATACCTCCACGTCAATCTTACCTTTGCACATATTCCAGTCACCCATGCCGTTTGCTCTGCTGCACCCCCATACCATGACAGATGTTTGCTTTTGCATCTGTCGCTGGTGAAAATCTGGATGGTCTCTTTGGTCTTTGGGACTGAGAACTCAATGTCCATTTTTCCCAGAAACAAGTGTGGACTCATCTGACCACAGCACACGTTTCCACTGTCTTTTTGAATATCTGAGATGAGCTCTGGCCCAGAGAACCCCGCAGCATCACTGCATAGAGTTGATGTACAGCTTTCTCCTTGAGTAACAGAGATTCAAGTTGCATTTACTGATGCAGTGGCAGACTGTGTTAACTGACAGAGGTTTTCCAAAGTACTCCTGAGCCCACGTGGTTATATTTAACACAGCAGCATGAAGGTTTCTTATGCAATGCCATCTGAGGACTCAAAGTTCATGCACATTCAACTGAGGTTTCCTGCCTTTCTATTTTCACTATATTATGTATAATTGTTGGTGAAAGACCTAAATTCTTTGCGATTTTGCATTTAGAAATGTGGTTTTTGATTTGCTTGACGCTTCTCTTATGAAATTTGGCACAAAATGATGAGCCATGATCCAGCTTTGCTTGCAAAGACAGGATGCTCCGTATAAACCCAAACATGATCCCCTCACCTATTACCAATTCACCTGCTTACTGTGAACTGTTTCAAAACAGTTTAATTTGGATATTCTATAACCTTTTCACTTTTATGTTGCCTGTGTCGCAACTTTTTTGGAGTGTGTTGCAGCCATCAAAATCAAAATTTGTTTATATACAAAATACATTAAAGTTGGTCAGTGAAAACTTTGGAAATGTTTTCTTTGTACATTTGTCAATTAAATAAAAGTTAAAGAGAATTAACAAATCACAGATTCTTGATTTTATTGCATTTTACAAAACGTCCCAACTTTTCTGGAATTGGGGTTATAGACTAATTATGTTTTTTGAAATTCTGAAAGGTTAACTGCAGTTTACCTGAGTAGTTTGACATATTTAATTTTGAGGATCTTTCTGTTGCTCCTCATCATTTTATTTAATTTTTTTGGACATTTGGTTAAGAAAGTTGACACTTTACACTCTAGTATGACTGCCATATCATTTTTTTTGTTGTTGAATAATGTATCATTTTGATGTAGTTCATTATTGTCAAAACATATATTCATGAGGATCTTATATCTTTATGGCCTAATTTCTATTCTTTGCATTCTTTTTTCATGTTGAAGTCATTCTTTCACTTCATTAGAAGTTTATTGGTCATGGTCATTTATGATGTTGAGTCCTGTCTAGGTCACTCATGTCCCCCAACACGTGACCCACATGAAAGAGACCACAGCTGTGTATATGAGACACATAGATGTTTATACTTTCTAAATGGGAAAGAAATTATCTGCTTAATTTGTGTGCTGTAGCTTTATCTAATATACAACAAATTACATCCTTTTTTTTCAGATGTTATAAGTGAAGTGTGTAATTTTTGTGTTACAAGTAGCACCAAAGGAAATAGTAAAAAAAAAGGAATACAAAAGATACAGAAATATTTTGTACTGCCAAAGTGTTTACATTTTGGTTAAATCAGTTTCATTTTCTGCATATTAAACTGCTATAGAACAAAGTATTTTAATATTGAAAAATACACACCACATTTAAGATTAGGGTCAAATTTGTAAGCTATTTATGTGGAGTTGAAAATTGAGTTGTTATTATTTGATGCAACAGTGATCAAAATAAATGATGGAAGCGTCCCCAGAGGTTGCACATTTAATTCCCATTTGTATTACCGGTGCCATTGTGAATCAGTGGGACTCAGACGGCAAACATATGGAACCAGGAGGGCAGAAGTGTTGACCCAAATTTCCCCTGCAGCTTTGAGTGTCTGACTCACACTCGCTGCTCACACACACTCCTACTGTCTTACACACATGCTAAAGTACGGTTTGCATTATTCTTTCTCCAAAAGAGACACCCTCTCTTTTCTGCATCAGAAAAGATAGGAAGTCTCTAAATGTCCCACCTCTTGGGTGAATGATATGTGCCAGAGTTGTGTTGTCTCCACAGCAGAGATATGCACCCCCAACACATCTCGTCCCGCCCCTGAAACACCCCCGCTAGGCTAATAGCACCCGCAGGTTTTATTTTTAAGGCACCATAGAAACGCCACCACAATAGGCTCCATCTCGAGTGGGCCCATCTGGGTGTCTTTGTCGGGTCCGCTGAAAGCTACAAAGGCCTGCTGACCTAGAAACACATAAATAAGGGAGAGGGGAGTTCTTCCAATTACAAATTGAAGAGTTGAGGAATTGTTTTTTTCTTTCATTGGTGATGGGAGATGAGAGGCATCCAGGTTTGTGGCCAGAATCAGGACGAGGACAGGAAATCCCTCATTCTCTCCTGCTGATGGAGGAATCCTTCAGAGGTCTCACAGTGGCTTTAGACCTGTGTGGGTTTGAGGGTGTTTGTCGAAAAGAATGGAAGGTTGAAACTGTCAGTGTGTGTGTGTTTTTGTGCTGGAGAGGGGAAAAACGCAGACTGTGAGTGTTTCTGAGCTGGCCATTGCTCAACTCTTTCACAAGAAGTCAGATCTTCTTGTAAGCGCTAAAGCAATTGGGGCAGTTGAACCTTAAACCGCATTAACACATTTCATTACACCAAATACACAAAATAATGTTCTTTTTAGCAGCATCATATGACCCCTTTAAAATTTAATTTTAATAAAAAAAGACTAAATATACAAGATGTTGCTCAAAACTGCAGGGTCATTACAATTTATTTTAAAATAAATCAGTAGTTTTATTCAACAATGATGCATTATATTGATCAAAAGTAACAGTAAATAATTTTATAAGGCTACAAAAAATTTCTATGCGTCAAATAATCCTGAAAAAACTTTTCCACGAAAGTATTAAGCTGCACAACTGTTTTCAACATTGACAATAATAAGAAATATTTCTTGAGCAGCAAATCAGCATATTAGACTGATTTCTGAAGGATCATGTGATCTGAAGACTGGAGTAATGATGCTGAAAATACAGCTTTGCTTCACATGAATAAATTATATTTTTAAATACCAATCAACTGCCACTGGAATGGCTATTTTAGACCACCTTGGTGCTTTCAGGGTGTTATTATGTATGAAAATGTATGAAACACTGTAATAGTAATAACATTTTGAAGGCATTAGTTTTGTTTGTATAACGTCTCCAGTTTCTCAGCGTAACCGTGGTTCCCTGAGAATAGGGAACGAGACATTAGGGGATATAGGTGATGTCAGGCGCCAATTTACCTCAGAATCTTTCGACTGAGCAAGAGTCGTTGAGGCTCTGAGGAACTTTTCCACACGGCAGTTTACATAATGTCTCGTTCCCTCCTCTCAGGGAACCACGGTTACATTGAGTGACCGGAGATGTTCCCTTATCGAGTTGGTCTCTCGACATTGCATTTGGGGAACGTATAAAACCCCGCTGTGTGAAAACCAAGCTGGTCCCAGCTCGAACAGAGCCGATACAGTAGACTAGACACATGCAGTAGCAAGCAAAGCAGTGGAGTGCTTGCCCTGCCCTTAGGTCGGGTACCGAACCTTGTTGAAACACCTAAACACCTGTATCATAATAACCTGGGCTCTGAATGATGTTGAGAGCACTTCAGGTGTATAGCCATGCCTGGGCGTGAGTCTGACCATGCAATCTGCGACACTATTTTGTGCCAAATGGTGCGGCACTATTTTGACTGGAGGGAATGCATAGTGGCCCGACAGTGCGTCCCCTTCCAAGGGAGCGGTCTTTAGCGAGAAGAATAATGGGCAGTGGGCATTCTCCTCTGAAGCAAAGAGGTCAATTTCCGTTTCCCCAAAGCGGCTCCATATCATCTTCACTGTTTGAGGATGTAGTCTCCACTCTCTTTGTATAATGCCCTCCCTGGACAGCATATCCACTCCTCAATTCAAACTGCCCGGTACATGCACTGCTCAAATCGAGAGGAGTGTTTGATCCGCCCAAAAGAGCAGGCGTTGTACCAAGCTTTGCAGGGCACGCGTGCGCACTCCTCCCTGGCTAACAGTAACACTTTGAATTGGTATGCAACACTTTGAATGTAAATTGCTGGAAGCACATGAGATGAGATGCTATCTGAATATGAAAATAAGCATCTTTCTCTACTCTGTTAGTAGCTGACCACCGCTCTGAGGCAGGGGGCTGCTTGTATCGAGAGAACAAGTGCATGATTGGAATTTTCCTGTGTTAGGGTCTGGTTGCATCACTAGCAACTAGGATAAACATTTGTTTTCTTATTTCATCATCTGAGGTTAGTCATGTATTTGTTCTCTGTGTTGGCATATTTACAGTATCTGATGTGATAGTGACTTTGACCATTCTTTTGTCACAAGGTGCGTCAAAAGGCTCACCACTCTATGTTTTGGTCTAGTTTGGGTTGATATATGTGGCATTGATTGTGATTCCTGTTCACAGAGGAGGACCGCTATGACAGCTACTCCCGCATGCTGCTCAAGTACTTCCTGGCAGAGGGAGTTGTGTGTGGACATGAACTCTTCCTGGCATCCGCCCGAGATCACCCTGATCAGATCATGCAGGTATGAACAAAATCGAATCAAGTGTTCACACTCTGCCTGTTTGACACTTTGGTCAAATTTTTTTGGTTCTGTGAACTCCAAGTACATCAAATCCATTATTTACCACCGTATTCTCTTTATATAACTACCTGGCCCTCAAAACAATAAACCTGGAGAAATCTGTCTTTATCAGTAAAAATTTTTTTTTGCCATTGGCCGGGAACAGTGTGACCGAGCATGACACAATGTCTGTATGTATTATTATGACTGTGCCATAGTCTGATTTCTGTATCTTCTTTTGGTCTAAGGTCACTTTGAAACTGTGTTGTGTCTTTTTGTTATTGGTTGTGTTTGGAATAGATTACCATACTAGTCAAAGTAGTCATACTATTATTTTTGCCCTGTATAGAGTCTGTATAGTATGCAGTTTCAATGCAAGTATGAATTTCTTAATGCATAGGACATGCTTTGCACATTCCAAATCTGCCCCATAATGCGCACAAATTGACCTTGCATTGCTAGTACAATAAAGAAGTAACCAGAAGTAATATGTGCTGTAATTTTTAACTTATTTCACATGAAGACATTTTTTTATATGATTTTATATTTTTGTCATTATTTGCATCTCGTCTTGCTTCATTATTTGAGCAGAAATTTTATTTTATTATTTTATTTCGACATCATCCACATCTGATCTTACTTCATTATGTGATCAGACATTTTATTTTATTTTTATTGTATTTTTTTCATTTGACATCTTTCACATTCTTGCTTCATTATTTGATCAAACATTTTTATTTTATTATTTCATTGTATTTAATTTTGACATCATTTTCATCTTCTTGCTTCATTATTTTGTCAAACATTTTTTTTTACATAATTTGCATATTTTCTTACTTCATTATGTATGTATTTATTTAATATTAGTTGTTATTGTTGTAATAGTAGTATATTTTATTTAATTTATTTTGAACATTTTCACATCATTATTTGATCAGACATTTTATTTTTTTTATTTTAATTGTAATTTTTTTTTTATTTGACATCATCCAAATCTTCTTGCTTTTATTATTTAATCAGACATTTTATTTTATTTTACATCATTCACAGAGTAAGACTGTAAGGCAGCAATGCATAATGCAACTGTTTAAAATGCATACCGTTTCTTGTACTGCATTAAAAAAAGGTACAGTTCTAGGCAGTACTCGATGTCTAGTGTGCTTTAAGCAGTACACTAATATTTAATTCCGAGCATAGCCAGTGTTTTCTCTCTCATCTCCTTCCCCATCTAAGCTTTCATAGACTTTGAGCATTAACGAGTCTCACCTTAATGACAGTGGACAGGAGTTCCTCTCTTGCTGGCCCTTGATTGGCCCCCAGTAAACACAAGCTTAATGAGAGCTTGTTGTTGCCTTTCAGACAGTTCCTGCATTGAGCTGTTATTTGTGAAACAGTCTCTGTTTTTTTTTGTTATTGCATGGTCTGTATGAATATTCCCCCAAGGGACACAGTTCCCACCTTCATTTTGGCATTTTTTGGCATTAATGTCAGCGTCAACCCTGTTGTTTAAACAACAGCTTTTAAAGTGCTAGCCTAGCACCATTTTGATGTGTTTATTCATATTTTTGGCCTTGTTAAAATGGGTCACTTGACATTCATTTCCCTCTTCACAGTGAGCTTTGGCCAAGAAACTGGCTTTAGTCTACCTAGATACAGTATAAAAATACCCACAAAAGGAAAAGGGGAAAAAGAAAAAAAAATTGTAAAATATATTGTAAGCATGGTTCCAAATATGTGATAAAAGCTGTTCCAATTTTAAACTCTTCTCTAAATCTTTTAGTTAGGTCAGGTAGAAAGTCTTTACATATTCAGATTTATCGATATAAACAATTAACAATTCAATTTCAGTAGGTGCAAAAAAGTCTGTAACTTTTGCATTCATTTTATTTTTTGTCTGTCTCTAAAATATATTTCAAAATTACTGTTCTTGTTGTTATTGTTATTATTATTAGTAGTAGTAGTATTTAAGTGAGCTATTTAATGTTCTGCCTTTCATATTTTTTAAAATAGGAACTCCCTTCTCCAATTGTGGATGACGTTGCCGGCATGAAAATCAGCGAGGGTCAATCTCAGCCAAGTGACCCAGAGAATCCAGACACAATGAAAATCGCTTGGCGCTACCAGAACCAACCCAAAGTTCAGGTAAAAGACCATCTGTAGGGAAGTCGGTCATTTTATTCAGTACAACATTAAGAAATGAACCCCACATATTCACATAAATGTATAGATGGCATAAATGTATGTTTTAAATTGACAGCTGTGCTTACTCTATAACGCAGTGGTTCTCAACTGGTTTTGCTTTAGGACCTGGGTTACATTAGAGATCAAGTTTACTTGATAAAGTAAACAAATGCCCTTAAAATTGTACATGCAAATATATTATAATTTTTACTTTGTATGTACTTTACTGTACAAATGCATTGTGGTTCGCACAAACAATACTTCATTGCTAGTGAATTTGCATCAGGGTTATTATAAACTAAAACCATAAAAACATTTAGGTTTTTTAAAATAAAATAAATGTTAACCAATATAAAATATTAGAAAACTCAAACTGATTTATTTCAGATAGTTGCCAAGGCGTCATTTCTCATTTTCGTTTTGAATATTGCTGTCCATGTTAGCATCAGTCTTATTTGTCTAGCTGTAATCCCAAAATACCATGGCGTTTGATTGGACGTATCAACAGCAAAAGCTATGGGAAGAATTTTGTCTATCCTTTTAAAACTTGACAAGCCTCTTTATTTTACTATGCTACGAGATTATATGGTAAATTAGTTGCATTTTCTTATTTGCATTTAGCATTGTCTTATACCTGCTGTCCACATCTCTATCAGATCAGAAATGCGACCCATTTTTGGAATTGAGTACCACTTTTATACAGGCTAAGAAAGGATGGTGGGAAAAATAGTGTACTATAATAAATATATCAATTCCTACCCACCCAGTGCTGTGAATTGGGCTTTCGCTGCTCTCATTCAGTTTAGGTGGATTACTCACGCTTAGCTGGTTATAGGTGGACTTAAAACCCAAGGAGACAGGAGGACATGGAGCTTCTATTCAACCTCAAGCCCTTTACAATGGAACAGAAGCCTCCAGCACCCCCAAATCCCTTCACAGTCCTCGCCGTGGCGTCCGCGCTCCCCTCTTTCTTCCGTTTTGAGAAAAGACCCCTCCTGCCAGCCCATAATCCAGATTGCTATGGAGATTAGGGGGGACACCAGAGTCCCCAAAGATTTCACTCTTTCTGTCTGCATTTCGGACAACTTTCGCTCATTCTCTACCATTTTTTCCCCTTCCTTCTCATTGGATATTTTCAGTCTCGTTTCCTTATTTCATTCTCCCCCTTTCTCCCCGCCCCCATTCCTGTCTCAGAGGGGATACTTATCCTCCTTAACCTTTATCATACCTCTGTCTCCTTCACAAAGCACCAGTAAATCTAGTAAGGGATTTGCATCCTAAACATACAGTGCACACACCCCACCCCCTCATTCTTGTTCTCAATGGAGATGCCAGATCAAAGTTCAGTCAGTCAAAACCCATGCCGTAACGTTAAAGGGGTCGACCCGACCTGCCCACTAAACGAGGATGAACGCCAAGCTGTCAATCTCCAAAGGAGATGCTGGAACACATAAGAGTCGCTGATCCAGATCAGGAGAAGATTAGGGGCTCATTAAAAAAAACTGGCGCAAAAACCAGACCCCCTCACAACTTGAGGAAAACATCTGCCCATGTGCAAGTGCGTTTTTCTAAGACCAAGTGGTCAGTCTCGTCAGAAAGTGATTATGTTCTCAATGGCTTAACGAATCACCTGGGTTTCTTACAGTTTAGCTGGAAGTTACAGAGTCTTTTGTATGCTTAACTTTTCTTGTTATTGTTAATGTACAGTATGTAAAGAATGCTCCACTATGACTCCAGTCATCAATTCACAGGTGATTCTCAGTGTATACTGTTCAAAAGTTGGTCAGTAAGATTTTTTTTTTTTTTGAAAGGTATTAATACTTTTGTTTAGTAATAATGCATTATTGTTCAATTGTTGTTTAAGAGTTCAAATAAATGCTCTACTTTTGAACTTACTGTTCATCAAATAATTCCACATAAATATTAAGCAGCACAACTGTTTTCAGCATTAATAATAATAAGAAATGTTTCTTGAGCGCCAAATATTAGCATTTTAGAATGATTCCTGAAGGATCAGGTGACTGGAGACTGAAGACTGGAGGAATGATGCTGAAAATTCAGCTTTGCATCACAGGAATAAATATTATTTTAAAATCTATTAAAGTAAAAACCTGTTATTTTAAATTGTAATAATATTTCACAATATTACTGTTTTTATTATTTACATTTTTTTTTACTTAAAAAAAAAAAAAAATCAAATAAATGCTGCCTTGGTGAGCATTCTTAAAAAAACATTTAAAAAAATCGTACTGACCTCAAATTTTTGTACGCTAGTGTGTAAGTTTATGCTGTTTTTTTGAATTTTCAGCAAAAAATCCAGAAAAAAAAATGTATTACAAAATTTCAGAGCAGCACAACTGTTTTCAGCATTAATAATAATAAGAAATGTTTCTTGAGCGCCAAATATTAGCATTTTAGAATGATTCCTGAAGGATCAGGTGACTGGAGACTGAAGACTGGAGGAATGATGCTGAAAATTCAGCTTTGCATCACAGGAATAAATATTATTTTAAAATCTATTAAAGTAAAAACCTGTTATTTTAAATTGTAATAATATTTCACAATATTACTGTTTTTATTATTTACATTTTTTTTTACTTAAAAAAAAAAAAAAATCAAATAAATGCTGCCTTGGTGAGCATTCTTAAAAAAACATTTAAAAAAATCGTACTGACCTCAAATTTTTGTACGCTAGTGTGTAAGTTATACATATTTATTTACTACAAAATAGTAAAAAATATTTTTTTTTCAGTAAATAAAAATGTTCTTTCATATTGTTTTACATACTGTAACTATCGCATGTCTATGGGTGTAAATAGGAACTAAAATTGACTTCATATTGCTTACATTAGCCATACCTTTGGCTATTATTCTTTCAGCTCAATTAAAAAAAAAACATGCTTTGCTGTTCCTAATGTGTACATATTTACTCTTACAATGCATTTGATTACATTTCCTTACTTAATGACAAGATACATAATCAGATTTGTCATTTGGTCAAGAATATGTTTGATTATTGTGATTTGACTCATAATTATTTGAACAAATATATTGTTGAGACACAGAAGTAGCTGTAGTGACAATTAAACATGTTCATGCAGGAAGTAGATTGAGGATGTATATTTTTACAACTGAAAGTAGGGCAGTAATTGTTTTGGTGTAGTAATTCAAAATTCATTATCAAATTCTGTATTTTGTGCATTTTACACCCCTAGAGAATAAAGTTTCTGTTATATTTGTTTTCTTTTTATTTGTAGATTGCTTTGGCATCATCAGTGAGGTTTGGCCATTACTATGACGTGTCCAAGACCATGGAGCCTGAGCTTCGGCAAGCAGCCAAATGCCACAGTTTTTATCAGCTACAGGAAACACCAGTAACCACAGGATCAAGGTAACTGCTATTGTCCACTTGAATATCTGTTAGGAGTATCAAAATAAATGTTCAGTTACGGTGAATATTCAGAATAAGATGTTTACGTGCCCCAAAATTTGCATTGATATTTTGTTGTACACTACCATTCAAAAGTTTTGGGTTTGCAGGATTTTTTTGTAATGCTTTTCAAAGAAGTCTCTTAAGCTCACCAAGGCTGTGTTTATTTGATCAAAAACACAGTAAAACTATAAAACTGTGAAATATTACAATTTTAAATAACTCTTCTATTGTAATATATTTTAAAATGTAATTTATTCCTATGATGGTAAAGCTGAATTTTCAGAATCATTAATCTAGTCTTCAGTGCCACATGATCCTTCAGAAATCATTCTAATATGCTGATTTGCTGCTCAAGAAACATTTATTATTATTATCAAAGTTGAAAACAGTTGTGATGCTTATTGTTTTTGTGGAAACTGTGATATATATTTTTTTAAATTCTTAGATAAAATTCAGATTTACATTTATTTGAAATAGAAAACTTTTATAACAATGTGAAAGTCTATACTGTCTTTTTTAATCAATTTAATGCATCCTTTTGCTGAATACAATAATTTATTTAAAACAAACAAACAAAAAAAGTTGGAAGTATCAAGTAGGAATATTCAACATCCAACTTTAAATGGATCAGAGTATCTTGCGTAAATATCAATATTGTGGTGACAAGGCTTTTATTATTACTCATGGAAGTTCATAAAAGAATGCTTATGTTTAGAGACAGCTTAACCAAACATTATAACCAAACACATGCATGGCCTTCTGCATATAGTATGATAAGTGCGCTAGGTATCGTCACATATCTCCAAGAAGAAAATGCTTTCTCAATGCTGATGTCATGTTTCTGAGGAACACATCTGCAATTTCGTTTTATTGACTGGTGTTCAGCCTTATAAAGGTTTTCGTAAAAACGTCTCTGTACTTCCAGGTCCTTGCCAGTGCTGTGAGAGACGGGCTTGAGTCTTCAATGGTGTTTGCGATGCGGTTGTTTTATGGTTGCTAGGGGTGCGCATGTAGAGGAGGCAGGAGCTTTGGTTGCATTAAAATCTACGGCACGGCCACAGTGCAAACAAATCAATCTGGAGCCCCTGGTTCATGGAGCCTCTCTCTGCTTTTTATGTCCGCAAACAAAAAGGTCTTCTAATTGTTTATCTGCATAACAGCACCATAGTGAAGGGTCCGTGTTCCCAAGCCTATGTTTACTCGCATCGGTAAATGTGTTCCTGTGTGGCGATGCTGTGTCCGCTGAACAGCTTGTGCCATGGCAGCAACGTGATGGATGCCGTGGCCTATGCAGGTGTTGCTTTTGGAATTTTGCCGTCATTCTTCTTTCAGTGTGCAGTTTATTATGATTTTATGACATGTTGTAATGGAATCATAAAGCTTTTAGCCATTAGCTGTTTAGCACATCTTTTAGATGTGTTTCCATTCCATAGGAACACAAAGAGACTTTATTCCTAGTACGTATGTGAGGCCTCTAGTCGTCATGTAATTTCCAACCCAGGCTCATTGGAAATACATGGCAACATTTCCACAACTATTATACTATGTTGCCCATTTCGCAAAACACTTTCAAAGCGAAGTGTTCAGTTGTATGTGAAAAAGATGAACCTGAATGTGGCAGAATTTCAATACGTTAATTGTTGTACATATCGCGGCAGTTTGGAAGTGAAGTGTTCAGTTTTATCAAATTTTTTTTTCGAAACAGATGAATGCGAATGTGGCAAAATTTGCAATACAGGCTCATTGGAAATACGTGAATTTTGTGTGCATTATTGACACACTATTTTCCTGTTTAACACTGTATTGTATAAAGCACTATTTAAATAAAGGTGACTTGACTTGAAACAGATGAACATAAATGTGGCAAAATTGTATAATGTTGGTTGTTGTACTGTACGTTCAGAAATTATATCTCCAGAGATTGGTTTAGTTTTATCCTAAACAGATGAAAGTGAGTTTGAAAAATTTTTAATATGTTGATTGTTATATGTATATTGGCAGTTTGGAAATAAAATGTTCAGTTTTATTAGAAAACAGATGAATGTGAATGTGGCAAAATTGTGTTACGGTGGTTGTGCATATTGTGGCAGAAATGAAATGTCAAGTTATTGGCAATAAAAGCTTGATCAGTTTTATTCAAAACGGAAGTGCATGAATGTAGCAATTTTATGTTGGTTGTTGCACTATTGTAGCAGTTCAGAAATAAAATGTCAAGTCAAGTCACCTTTATTTATATAGTGCTTTTAACAATACAGATTGTGTCAAAGCAACTTTACAGCATTAAATAGGAAAATAGTTTGTCAATAATGCAAAATTACAATAGTAAACACTCAATTTTCAGTTAAAGGCAGTTCATCATTGAATTCGGGGATGTCATCATCCAGCTCAGTTCAGTTTAAATAGTATCTGTGCAATCAAGTCGGCGATATCGCTGGAAATAAAGTGTCCCCAACTAAGCAAGCCAGAGGCGACAGCGGCAAGGAACCAAAACTCCATCGGAGAAAAAACCTTGGGAGAAACCAGGCTAAGTCGGGGGGCCAGTTCTCCTCTGGTCAGACGAAACCAACAGTCCAATTCCAGGCTGCAGCGAAGTCACATTGTGCAGAGGACTCAACTGGTTTCTGTGGTTTTGTCCCAGTGGCCATCTAGGAGACAAGGTCTTCACTGGGGATCTGTCTCTGGGGCTCATCTAGTTGTCCTGATCTCCGCTGACATTCAGGGCTGTAGAGGTCGTCTCTAGGTGCTGATCCACCATCTGGGCTGGATACGTAGATCCGGGTGACTGCAGTGACCATCTGATCTGGATACAGACTGGATCTGGTGGCTACGGTGACCTCGGAATAAGAAAGAAACAGACTAATATTAGCATAGATGACATTCTTCTAACGATGTAGCAAGTACATCGGGTGTTATGGGAAGTGTTCCCGGTTCCGGTTGTCCTAATTAATGCAGCCTAAAAATCCTTTAACGAATTAGAATATTAGAAATGTGTTAGTGTGTTGTGTAAGACAGGTTAAAGAGATGGGTCTTTAATCTAGATTTAAACTGACAGAGTGTG